TGGCTTTTGTAAACTTTTTAAGCAAATTTCCTTTTTCTGAATACCGGTAAGAGAAGCTCTAGTTCTTTTTATTTCAGAAGTATTTTTGTCTTTTGGCATTTTTGAATAAAATGTTTATCAAAAAAATTTATGATGCAAGAATCATGATCAGTTTGATTTAATAATGTAAAAACAATGTAAAATTTCCTTTAATAGTTATCGTAGAAATATATTTACTACTAAAAAAAAATTCGTTATAGCCCTTAAAATTTTGACTATACTTTACTATAATCTGTATTACATTACTGATTCGTTATATGTTATAGTAAAATTTTAGAAAAATTCAGTTTATTTAAATTATATAACTATATATAATTTGGTACCACTCATGTGATTCGCAATACCATGAAATTCGGAATACAGAAATTCGTTATAGACCACTTTGACTGTACTAATATTATACTGTAATTGAATTCATATAATTTATATATTATTTAAAATCTCTAATAATTGAAATATTCAAAAAATATAATTAGAGCTCTGAATCAGATCAGGTTGACCTATTTATCTGATCTGACTTGATCTGAAAATTCAGGTTAGTTCAATAGATTTTTAGGTTAATGTCAGATCAAGTTAACAGATTAAACTGACCTGATCTAACCTAATAAAATTTAGATCAACCAATCATTATTCTTGAATAATATTTTATTGTTCAATTAGAATAATTCATTATCATTCTTGAATGATTGTTTATCATTTAAAATAATGTTTTATCATCTGAGAATGATGTTTTTATCATTGAAAAATGATAGTTTTATCATTTATTTAGAATGATTTATTATTATCTGAGAATGATAGTTTTATTTTTTGAGAATAATGGTTTTATCATCTGAGAACAATGATTTTATCATTCAAAAATAATGTTTTATAATTTGATCAGGTCAGGTTAAATCAGGTCAGGTCAAATGAAAATTTAAATCAGATTAGATTTTTGTTTGATCTAACCTAATCCTCTCAGTTCAGGTAATTTGATTGACCTGACCTGAACTGACCTATTCAAAGTTCTAAATATAATGAATTAAAACTAAATATTCTGTATTATGTAAAAAATAGTCTTCTTTTTAAATTTATTTTTAAATCAAAAATTTTAAAATTTTTAACAAATAATAATATCAATTTGAAAAATGAAAATTTGGATTTATTTATAAAAGTATATTTTAATCTACATATTATTAAAACATAGAGAAACATTAATAATTATTTTTCAGAAAAAGTTATCACAAATTTAAGAGAAAACTTAAAAATAATAAATTCAAGTCACTTTAAAACAGAAAATAAAAAACTTTTTTCATAAAAAAAGTAAATTTACTTAATAATTCTACTTATATTTTAAAATAACTTAAAATATAAGTACAGATTAAAGAAATAGAAGATTCATTTACTAAATATTTTTAGTATTAGAATTATTATGATTATACTGAATATTTAGGATTTAACATTATATAAAAAAAATAAAGCTTAAAAAATTGATAACTTTTTACTGATAAGTATTTTAAAAAAAATTATTTTTATAAAATAATAAAAAATGAGATCAATATAAATTTTATAAAAAAAAAAGGTAAAAAAATATATTATGTTTAAAAACAATTTAATATTCTAACTGATAATTACATAGAAACCCTTAATTAAATATAATTAAAAAGTTAAAATATTTTTATATAATAATTATATAACAAAAAAATGATTAGTATAAATTTAAAAGTGACAGTTTTGATGATAATATAATAATTAAGTTATTATCTTCCTACATCTCTTAATATTATTATTATTTTTAATTACACTATTTTTTTAAAAAAATTTATAGTAGTTGAATTACTTTTTTAAAAAAATTATAATAATTAGAATAATTTTATAATATAATAAATTATAAGTTAAAACTAAAATATTAATTACTAATTAATATTAAAATAACATAAAATTATTAATTAATTTTAAATTTGTTATATATATAGAAAATGTTTAATTTAAAAGAAATATAAACAAAAAAATATTAAAAATAACTTGTAATTAAAATATTTATTAATAAAAATAATAAATATATTTATTATGCAAAAGAATTTATTCAAAGGTTAATATTTTACATTTGATATTACATAAAGAAATCATAAAAAGAAAAAATTTATTAATACATATTCAAAATCTTTTTGGCGTCATACATGATCTATTTCTGAATTTCAAATTAAAATTACATTCAGACAATACTAAAAATAGTAAAAATAGTGTAAGGCTTAATTTGTTTTCATTTTTTTATAATGAACAAAAAAAAAAATTTCCGGAGGTTTTGGTCTAAAAAAAAAAGAAAAAAAATTCCCAAAATTATCGGAAATTTCCGAATTCAACTTTGGTAAATCATGAATATTATTATTATCCTTGTTATCTACTTATGTTTCCCCTGCTTCAACTAGTACAAAACAGTTGCATGCTTTTTCGTGTTACGTGAATGAGCCTCAATTATCATCAAGTCTTTCCTAATCGGAATAGAATCCTGAAAGTATTCCCTATTTGGTACTCACACACGATATGATAGCATTCTTTTCTCTCTCGATCCAAATTCAATTCTTCAACTTTTACTAGTATTAAATATAAACATTTGGAATTAGAAATTGAACATTGCCTATTCTAGTATCAATAGTGCTCATCTCCTTAACTGTCAACCATTAGTTAATAGCTTTTATGATAATTAACATCGATAGATATTGTAGCAACATCTTGGTTGATTTTTTTACCTTATTAAAATCCTGACTCCTAACCGAGAAAATATACACATAATTTTTTCTTACTTCTTACGACCTTTAAGCTCTGCGAACAACCCATCCCCCTATAACGAACCGACAAAATGCTTCACCAACAATTTAACGCAGGTTTTGTGATGTCAACAGGTGCTTCTCAAACTTCTGTAGTTAACACAGGTAAGTAAACATTAGATAGACTGGTCGTAAAGATTCTGACAAACGCGAGAAAATATACGTGAAAGTAAAATATCGACGTGTCAAAACGATAAAATATAAAAGAAAAGTCTCTCGAAACTTGACCTATCTATTAAAAAGTAATTTATATATTTTTCAAATTGAACTTCATTATGAGCTAACGTGCCGTATTTTCTGGCCGGTTTCTCCAAAACCTTTCATTCTACTTCCTTTATCTTGCCCGTCTATCATTTGATCTTTGTTCAGTAACACCCGATGAACTGGATATTCCCGAGTTCAAACAATACAATAAAGAAATATATGAGAGTTCAAAATCTGGTAATCGTAGACGACGCAAGTCGACACGTGAAGATTGTGACACCGCTTCCTCCTTGGATGGTTATGATGGGGAAGATGGCAATGGGTCAGATACCTTTTATATATATTAGTAATATTTTGGACATGGTTTGATTTTAATAATGGAAACATAATTAATATTTACGCGTCTTCTCTTACAATTCATTTATATTTATATTTTTTTTATATTTTTTTAAAAAAATAGCTCTGTAACGCATGCCGAATTTCGTCGTCAAATACATATTCAATCTGAACAAAGACGACGGGCGGAAATAAAAGATGGTTTTGAAGAACTTCGTCGACAACTTCCGATTAATAATAATGGTCGTAAAATGAGTAAAGCTCTTTTGCTTCAGAAAAGTGAGTTCTCGCGATTTCTGCTTTATTATCAACAATATTTTCATTTCATAATCCGACTCTATTGGATTTATTAATCAATGACGTATATCATTGAAGATGTACCAAAGACTTTTTAGATCATTTTTTAGTTATTACGCGTAAAATTGTTTCAACTTACGATTTTTTTATATTAATATATAAATTTGATATCATCAATTAGCTGTCGCTCATCTTAAGAACATGAAATCCAAAGAGACCTTCCTTATCGAAGAAGTTAACCGTCTTCATCAATATATCTCGTATCTAGCCACTGAACTCGAAAGAGAGAAAAGGTAAATGGTTTTAATGGTTTATATATCGTTATTACCATATTCATTTATTTTTAAGAAATTATCTTAAATTTTTATTGCATGATCAACCGAATTATTTTACAAACTTTTTCTTTATGTAGACTAAACGCTGTATACCAACAGCAAGAAACCCTTGATAAAATTTATGCAATTGGACTATAGATCATTTGTATAATGCAAATATTGTCAGGATTGCTTAACCAATTTACCGATAACCAATCTTTCGAAATTTATTTGTGCTTTAATTGATTCATTTAATATTTGTATTGAATGTCGATCTTTTTGTTTTAGTACCTTTTTTTTTCCTGCGTTGTTCGTTATAGCTTTTCTTCATCACCTTGAAAATTCAAATACCTAAAAATACTTAGTTTGCAACGCTCTTTCTTTTCATTCTTTGCATTCTTTTTTTTTCACTTTCATTACTCTTCAAAAGAAAGTTTGTGATTATTGGTTCTGAACAGTACAATTTTCTCAACAAACATTTTAGTTCCCTTTTTTTTCTTTTTCTTTTTTTTTTGTATGTTCAATTTCTTTTACGTTTACAACATTTGATGTAAAATGGTTCGATGATTGCTTTTTCATGGTAAAAATTCCCTTGTAGATTTCTTTTTTTAGCGACATTTTAAATGAAACTTTTTTTCCTTAAAAATCTTAACTACACATGATCTTGTGTAAATATAATAATAGATTGGTTTTTAGAGACGTGCTTAAATAACAAAATAAGGTTTCACAAAGGATTGATTTAGACACATATATGCCGAGTGATTGGAATATATATATATATTTATTTATTTATTTAGTATTATAAAAAGATCGTATATAAACTATTTAAACTATTTATTTCCAGTCACAATTATATATATTTTTAATATTATTAAATAATCATATCATTAGTTAAAAAGGTAAGTTACTTAATTAATATTATTAATATTATATTAGAATAGAAAGTATTCAATAATCATTGAGATAAATATATGAAATGCACTGCACACCAATACACTCCGCTAAGTCGGTGGTCTACTTACACATTTTGTCATGATAACATTTGTTATCGCCGTAGTTTGCCAATAAATTAATTATTATTTGGAATATGGAATGCATGTCATTCGGATATTTAGATTTAAGAACATAAATTAAAAATCTCTAGTGACAATCCAAGATTTTATACAAAGTTGTTTTGTCTTCATGAATTATCACTCGTGGTCTTGGACTGTTATAGAAAACTTTTGCTTATCAAAAACGTTACACCTTTGTAGAAATATCCGAATTCTTGGAAATTCTTATATATATATATAAAAAAAAAAAAAAAATAATAATAATAATTATAACTACGAATTTAAATAATGTAAATAGTAAGTAACCATGTGGAAATGATCAACCGAAATGAGACGCGTAATTAAATCGAGGATTACTATTTTAGTCACATGTTATTATTGGTGTAACATAAAGAAATGTATAAACAAAACGACTTCAAATTTTTTTGTTTACATAATATATTCAAATAAAAATAAATAAATAAATAGAATCATGAATTCAAAAGTTATTAAATATTTGTAACATATTAACTTTATTAGTCAAAACTTCATATTTTATTACTTTTACTTTATTTAAAGATAAGTATAATTATAAATACTATTATAATTATCTAATTAGTAATTCAACATATAAAAAAATCAATATAATATGATATTGAATATATATATATATATTAATTTTAATAATAAAATACATTTACTTAATTAATAATAAAATAGAAAATAATATTTTTTTTATAAATATTACAAAATTTTTATCAAATAATAAATTTATTAAATCTAAAGTTATTTTTATAAATAGTAATCCTTACTTTGCAAAAACTATTAAAATAAATTTTTTAATACTTTGCTTTTATATGTATTTATTATATTAAATAGAATTTAAAAAGAAAATTTAAAGGAAAATTTGATTTAAATTATAATTAATTTAAAAAAAATTTTATAAAACATAAAATAATTTATGTATAATTTAATTTAAATTATTATAAAATCAATATTAGATAGAAATAGCTAATTTTTTAAATTAAATTTTAAAACTAATTAAAATATATTATATTAAAGAAAGCATTTATAACAAATATTTAAATTAAATTATTCAATACTATAATTAATTTATTATATAATATAATATAATTGATATCAAATTTTTGATTTTTTAACAAATGAAGTTAAACTAAAAGCATAAAATCTTATGAATTATTAAAAACAGATTCAACCTATAATTAAAATTTTAAGTATATATACAATAATTTTTGAAGTCTATTAATAATTAATTCAAAACTTATTTATTATTTCAAATACAAAATAAAATGTGATTATAATTATTTGAAAATTTTCTTTATAAGAGTTATTTTTATTAAAGTATAATTAATGAATTTATTTAAATTAATAATAATTTGAGTAGTTTTTTTTTTAATATTTATTAATAAATATCTAATAAGAAATTTTAATTTAAACAAATAATATTATTATAATAAATAATATTATAATTAAAAAATTGCTTAAAGATTATTATATATATCAATAAATATTTATTAAATAAAATAAATAAATCTTAAATTATTAAAATTTAACTGATTAAATAGATAATAAGCTTTCTTATATATAATATAATTTTTTTTAATGATCATTCATTTTTATACATTTGTTTTATAATTATTAATTTTATAATTTTATATTATTATTTTTTTTCATTTATGAAAGATATAAAATAAGGTTTAATATTTAATAAAAATGATCAATAGTTATTAATATAATAAAGATTAATTTAATAAATATAATTAAATTTAAATTTTATTACAATTTATCAATTATTAATTTATAATTAATTTAAATAAATTAATAATAAATAATCTAAAAATATAATAAATTTAGAGTTGAATATTATTAAATAATTTTATAATAAGAAATTTTACTAAATCATTTTAAAATCTTATTAATCAAAAATAATAATATATAAAAAAAATTAGTTTATATAAAAAAGCAGTTAAAATTTATAATAAAAGCTAATATATATAATAAATTATATAATATATTAATAATTTTATTAATATAAAAATAATTTAATAAATATCAAATTTTTATAGAATTCAATAGAAATTTAATTACTAATTCATTTATTTTTAAAGAAAAAGGCTATTAATTATTTTAGAAATAATATAATTAAGACTAATCTATAAATATTTTTCAAATATATTTAATAATAAAAATATAAAAAAAAATTAGAAATAATTAAAATAAACTTAAAGTATCAAATATTCATAAATTAAGAAAATATGAATTTATAAAGAATATAAATCTTATAGCAAAAAAATGATATTTAACATATTATATTTAATAAAAGACTTAATTTTCTATTTATCATAATATTTTATATAAATCTTTTAATTTAAAGTAATATTATCTTTAAAAAATTAGAATATAATGCATAAATATCATACTTTGATTATTAAAGACAATACTATTTTGATTATATAATAGGTAAATAAATAAATTATAAATAGTAACTAATATTATGAATATTTATCTAAAATTAAAAATAAATAATTATTAAAAAAATATAAAGTCCTTTATTTTTATATAGTTAAAAATAATGAAAGTTATTATTTATAATGATTTAATTTTGATTTTATTAATATTATATTATTTAATTAGTATTATAGATAAAATACTAGTAAAACTAATGAAATATTATCTAAATAATTTTAATATTAACAAATATAAATTTTAAATAATTCAAAATAATAAATTTAATAAATTTAATTATTTATAATTTTTATATTATATTTCTTTAATAGTTTTTTTTTAAATTAATTTATTAATTACATTTAATTTTAAAGTAATTTCTATTTGTATATAAATGTTTAGATATAAGTTATGTAATACTGCTAATATTAACATTACTTATATTAATATTAAGAAATTAAAAAATTATCTGTGTAATATCTATATAATGAAAATAATTTTCATAAAAAAAATTCTGTTTATAAAATAAATAATAAAAACTAAAAAAGCAAAGAAGTATAATATAAGTGATAAATATAGATTATGTGATATATATTTAAATATTTATTATAAACTTAAAAATTTTATATATTAAAAAATTATTTATTAAAAATAATATATATATTATTTAAAATAAAAAGCTTTATATTTTTTAATAATATATTTTTAATATCAAATAAAATATTTGATTTGATTAAAATTAAATTATATCTTAATAATTTAAAAATAGATTTAAAATTAATTTAATTTAAATTTAATTATTAATAAATCAAAATTTAATTTTTATTTATATTAAATTTTTATTTAAATATATTTTAACATTAATTAATTTTAATAATATCAAAATTAATAATGTTAATTTAGTATTTATTATAAAATAATTACGTTTATTAAAATACAATTTGTTTATTAAAATAAAATTTAATTAATAATTTATTGATTTGTACTAAAGTATATTTTTATACTTAATTTATATAATTACATTTTATAATTTCTACCAATTATTAATTCAAAATAATAAAAATTATTTATCAAATAATAATTCATATTTAAATTAAAGATGACACTGCAACTAGTTACAATTATATAATACTTATTTATCACTAGTTGCAATTAGTTACAACTCAATTTTTATTAATGTTACAACTAGTTACAACTATATAATACTTATTTATCACTATCTTTAATTTAAATAAAAGTAAAAAAGTAATTAAAGATGTATATAAATAATACTAGATCAAAAATATATTACAAATTATCAATAAAGTTATTTGTATACTAATAGAACTAATATTATTTTAATATTCATAACTTATAATTTTACTTTTACTATTGACATATAAATAAGTATTGAAGTTTATGCAAAAATTTAAAAAAAAAGTAAAGCATATTTTCAAAAAGTATAAAGCTTTTTACAAAATATTTTTAGAAGTAAATATTAATAAAAATAAAAAATATACTATTAAAAGTATATTTGTTTAACTAAAACAAATTGTAAAAAAAAATATAATTAAATATCAAAATTGAAAATAATATAAAATTGGATTTTTTTAATATATAATTTTATACATTAAGAAATAGCAAAAATAGCTCAGGTAAGATTACTTATCTAAATTAATTTTAGATTTAATAAAATATTTAAATTGCAGTTTCACTAATTTTTTATTAAAGTTTAATATAATTTCACATTTTTATAAACTTTTATATAATTTTACCTTTTTCAGAATTTTGCAGATTTTTAATAAAATTTTAATATAATTTGCTAAATTTATCTTTTACTATTTAGATGATTTATAAAATCTCTAAGTTTCATATAGTAATTTTAGATTTACACATTTAAAATACAGTCAACTCTTGTTATAACGAACTCTATGTCCTAGACCTCAACTTCGCTATAAGGCTATAGTGAAGATTTTAAGAGATTTGATTGGCCAATTCGCTATAACAAGAGTATTTTTATTATATTTGTTCAAAAAATTCGTGATATTAAGAGTTCGCTATATTAAGAGTTGACTGTATAAATAAATTTTTATTTTTTTCAAGTTTATAATAAATAATTATTTTTATAAAAATTGTGTTTAAAATTATAAATTTTTTTATATTAAAATCCAACTTATATATAAAAATAAATTATATTTATTTTATTTTAAAATTATTAAAAAAATCAATAAATATATAATTTAGATACTAAAGTATAAAGTGATTTAGTTTTTATATTGATAAAGATTAGGTAAAATAATGTTACATATATCTTAAAAAAAATTTAAATTTTGTTTTTATTAAGAAGATCAGCAAAGTTTTGCCTTATTTTTATTTAATTATTACAAAATCATAAATTAAAAATAAATAGTGTTTATATATAAACTTAATTTTAACTTATTTTATTTAGAGTAATTTTATAATTTAGAATTAATACATAATTTTAATAAAATATTCTATAAAATAATTAAAGATATTATTTTTATTTTAAAATAATCATTAAATAATTAAAAAATTAAATCTAAAAAGTAGTACTAGGTAATAGGTATTATTAAATCATCTGTAATATTTAAATTAGTTGATCAATTATATTTAAATAATATTATAAAAATAAATTATAATTATGATTAATATTAATATAATACTTATTTGATAAATTATATTTAAGACAGATATTACATAAAAAGTTTAACTCTAACTAAAGTATCTTATATAAAGATGGCACTCCAATTAGTTGCAACAGGTGACAAATAAGCATCACAATGTTGCAATAAATTGCAATATTATTAAAATTTAAGTTGCAACAGGTGACAAATAAGTGTCACAATGTTGCAACGTCATCTTTAATCTTATACTTACGCTTTGAATAATAAATGCTATATAAAATTAAATTAAAATATGTAAAAGAAAATTAAATTAAATATATTTATATATTTATATTAATAAAAATTAATAATTAATATTTTATTATAATTTTTATTTATAATATTAAAAAATTAATTGTTATTATTAAAGTTTATATATATATAGTTTTAATAAGTTTTTAATAAAAAATTACATAATATTATATTACATATTTTTAATTATATATAAAATTATACTTTATAATTTATACAAATATAAATTTAAAAAATATAATTTTAATAAATTTATATTTATAAAAATTTTTTAAATATACAATATATATATTTTATATTATTTTTCAATTTATTACTATTCTTTTTTTTTAATTTTTATATATTAAATTAACAATTATATTTCTTTTACTTATAATTAATTATCATTTATATTAACTTTAATTATTAATTTTTTATATTTTTTATTATTTTTTTAATTAAAAAAATTACTAAATTTATATATAATTTCAATAATATTTTAGTTTATAATAGTTTTTATTTAAACTTACTAATAAAATTTATTAAAAAACTCTTTTTTAATAATATACAATTTAATTATTTTTCTTAATATAATAATATATATTAAATTAATCTAAAAAGTTTATAAGATATTAAATATTTAGCTGATATTAAAGTTTTATATCAAAAATATATAGAACCGCGTTCGCATTTTAACAAATCATTTAACCGGAACAATAATCAAATTACTCTGATTGGTCATTTAATATCACTAGGTCCGGAAGACGTGTAGGCTATAAACAAAAATCGAAGAAAAAAATTGGTGTAACTGCATTATGCAAGTTATATCACATTATTTATCATTTCATCAAATAGGACCATTACAACACTTACAAGTTGCCCCATTGATTTCCCTCTTTCATCCTTTATCTTAAATAACCACCATCCGTTAATTAATATAAAAGATAGCCTTCCCTTCTGCTTCAAATCGCAATATCTTATCAGTTAATAAAAACTTTAAGACCAAAGTCTCAGTCAAAAACCAAAGTTCTTGTATCCAAAAGGTATGTCGTCTCTATGCAAACGGAGAGGAGAAGAACCAGTATTGCCGTTACCGCCGATTCTGCTCGCTTTAAAAAAGCTTTCGCTCTCCGGATCTGTGGTTAATAAAAACCACCCTTCAAAAAAAAAAAAAAAAAAAAAAAAAAATACGGACAGCACCTTGAACAATATTGAAGACGGAAAGTTCCGTGGTCAGATGGTTATTTTGAATCTGATGGCTCCACCTTTTCCTAAGTTCCTCCAAGAATATGGATCGTCCCCTATAATCTATAAATAGAGGCTCTCTTTTTTAAGTAAAGTATGAGGGAAAGTATGAGGGAAGTTACTATGTGTGGTTCTTATATTCTTACAGCTACGAGTCTTCAAGTTCGACGATATCTGAAACTCTGTTAAATATATCGAAGACCTTCTTCAACTTTTGTAAGGATTAATGAGTCTACTGCAACATGATTGGCAATGGATCATTCGACAATCAATTTTGACATCATTAGGATTGAACATTTAAAAAATTAAAAAAAAAAAAACATTTGAAAGATTTTCATTAAATGATATTCTTTCTGAGAAAATAAAGATTTGTGTCACCATTATGAGTGAAAAAAAACGCATATCTTTATGAAATCTTCATCATCAAACATATATTCATCCTTTGTATTCCTTCACCAATGAGCGACGAGCAAAAATGAGCAGCAGAATCTGGCGGCCGACATGACAGTCTTGATTTTTCGAAATTTATCAAAAAAAAAAAAAAAAGAACTCAAGTTACTAAACACTTTGTCATCAAAATCTCTTCATTCACCTGGTTGATGCCCAATATTTTACACCTTTAAGTTTAAACCAACATTTAAAAATGGCTGACCACGGTGACGATTTAATTGACTATGAAGAAGAAGATGAGACCATGCAAACCGATGCTCCCGCTGCGGAACAACCTACTGGTAACGGTCAAGACTTATCCGAAGAAAGTACGAAAGATAAGAAGGGAAGCTATGTCGGCATTCACTCCACTGGCTTCAGAGATTTCTTGTTGAAGCCTGAATTGCTTCGAGCTATTGTAGATTGTGGTTTTGAACATCCTTCAGAAGGTATGCATTATATATAATATATTTCAAGTTAATTTTAATTTAACTAATATTATATTAATTGATTTATTAGTACAACAAGAGTGTATTCCCCAGTCGATTCTTGGTATGGATGTTCTTTGTCAGGCCAAATCTGGTATGGGTAAGACTGCAGTCTTTGTTTTGGCTACACTTCAACAAGTAGAACCTGCACCAGGCGAAGTTTCAGTAATCGTTCTCTGCCATACTCGCGAATTGGCCTTTCAAATCCGAAGCGAATATACTCGATTCAGCAAGTACATGCCAGAAATAAAGACTGACGTTTTCTACGGTGGTATTCCCATTAGAGATGATTATAAGAAATTTGCAAGCAAAGAAACCACGCCCCATATTGTTGTTGGGACACCCGGAAGGGTGCTAGCATTAGTAAACGATGGTCAACTGAAAGTTGGTAGTGTTAAGCATTTTGTACTCGATGAATGTGACAAAATGTTGGATCAATTAGGTAAGACTTACATTATCAATATATATATATATATATATATATATTTTTTGTTTTAAGGATGAAAATCGTTATAACCCAGCTCATCTAAGGTTTAATAACCTAATGAGATGAAATTTAGTCTGAATGAATAATTATATATGTTTATTTCTATTAATTATGCTTTAATATAATATTAAATCTAATTTCTTGTGATATATATATATATATACACATTTATTTTTTTTTTGTTTATTTATTTACTTACCGGAACAACAGACATGAGACGAGATGTCCAAGCGATTTTCCGCAAGACACCTCATAATAAACAAGTCATGATGTTTAGTGCTACACTTAGCAAAGAGATTCGGCCTGTTTGTAAAAAATTCATGCAAAATGTAAGGCTTACAATTATTCTTTATTTCTTTATTTTTTTTTTCTTAAAAAAAATTTAATTTTACTTAATATTAAATTAATCAATTAGCCACTAGAAATTTATGTTGATGATGAAACTAAACTCACTCTTCATGGTCTTCAACAACATTTCATCAAATTACCTGAAACTGCTAAGAACCGCAAATTGAATGATTTACTTGATACGCTTGAATTTAACCAAGTATGCATCTTTGTTAAATCGGTTCAACGTGCAAATGAGTTAAATAAACTTCTTTGTGACTGTAACTTTCCAAGTATTTGTATTCACGGTGCAATGAAGCAAGAAGAAAGGTTAGTTGATTAAATTTTTTTCATCTTGAAAGTACAGATTAATCGTAATATTAACGGTTATTAATTATTTACAGAATTGCCAAATATAAATCATTTAAAGACTTCCAGAAACGAATAATGGTCGCAACTGATGTTTTTGGACGTGGAATTGACATTGAACGTGTGAATATTGTTATTAATTACGATATGCCTGATGGCCCGGACACATACTTACACAGGGTATTTTTTACTATAATGTGTTTAATGTTTTTTATTTAAAGTACTATACTAATTTTATTGATTCAAAAAGGTTGGGCGTGCTGGACGTTTTGGTACCAAAGGTCTTGCTATTACTTTCGTAGCAAATCAAGAAGACGCCGACACATTAAACAAAGTACAAGAAAGATTCGAAGTCAATATTACAGAACTACCGACTGAAATAGAGATCAATGATTATATGGCATCATGAGTAATTTCATACCTAGTATTCAAATTCATTTACATGTTATGTTCATTTATTGGGCTTTGCAAAATGGACATCTTTGTAGCTTTTTATTATATTGTTCATACCAAAATATAAGACTAGAAAACTTTTTATTAAAATCTATTAAAGTGAAATTATTATTTAGTAGTTTTGAAGTGTATTTATTATAATAATAGGATTGTTAGTAAAAATACTTTAGTAAAAAAAAAAAGTGTGATTTTTTAATATAATATACAATTTTAATTTTAGTACCAATAAGCATTTATTTATATATTTGCATTTTAAAAATTATAAATATAAAAAAATGTAAAAAATCATTAAAGTATAATTTATTTTACTTTTAATTTTTTATATTAAATTGTTAATATTAAATTTTTTGAAATCATTATTAAAAACTTAATTTTAATAAAATTAAATAATATATGGTAATTATATATAAATTTTATTTTTTATATATGTGATGTGTTAATTCTAATAATAGATTAAATGTTAAAAGATCTAAAAAATCAAATTCTATTATAAAAAAATAATTAAGCATTTCTTAAATATTAATAATTTAATTAATTTTAAAAAATTTACACTTAAAATTTTAAATAAATAATTTTTTTATTTTTTTTTGATTAATCAGATACTTTTTTTAAAAAAAGTATATATCAAATTTAATAATATATATATAAATAATAATCAGTTTTGCTGTAATAATATTTATTATATCATTTGAAATATATTTTAAAATAGAAAAATTATAATTAAATAAATTTGAATATAAAAAGTTATTAGCTTTTAAATAAATATGAAATTTATAAAGCTATTATTCATGTCTTAAAAATTTTAAAAAGTACTATTATAGATACAATATCTTAATATAAAAATTTTAATATTTAATTAATAGTTAAAAGAACTAAAATATTATGTTTTATAAATAATAATAATTATTATAAATTTTTAAAAATTGTTAAAAAAACTATTGACGTCTTATTAATAGAATTTTAGTAATTTATAAAATAAAGAAATTTAACTTTAACTATTTATAAAAACTTTGTCAAACAAAATTTATTTACAAGTTTTTATACTAAACTATTTTATAGAAATTTAATGTAAAAAGTAATTTTCATGATATATAAAATTACTAAATTGATTAATTAGATAATAAAAAACTATTATTTAAAAAAATGAGTTCAGATTTATTTTTTTTAAAATGATAATCTTAATTATATTTAATGAAAAATAGAATCTAATATTTTAATACCTAGAATTAAATATAATAGTAAAATTTTTATTATATGAAAATATTATTTTAAGAAAATGATTAAGATTATTAGTAAAAGTAAATGGTAAAATAAATAAATTAGATTTTATTGTAATTTTAAAAAAATTTATTACTATTTATCCAGTTTAAATATGTAACCTAATGTTGAAAAATGATATAAAATAATTTAAATATTTTTAATAATATATCACGTATTATATGTTATTTCAGAAAGCAAATAATAAATAATATTTATTATTTAAAATTATATCATATGATTTGTAATGTTAGGCAGAATTATTTAAATAGTTATATAATAAACTATAACAATTAGTATTATATATTTGAATTATATAATATAAGTAATTAAGGTTATTTTAAAACTATAAAACTACTGAAATTAAGTAACTATAAATGCTAAAATTGTTAAAATGTTTTAGCATTTTATATATATAATTTAGTATTAACTATAATCTGTGAATTGAAAATTTTATTTTGATTAGTTTTAGTATTGTGACTAAAATTTATTATCATCTAAAATTAGAATTCAAATGATCTTTTGATGTTTAAAATTGAGATTTCAAGTTCAGCTAACTGAAATTAGAATTCCAATTTTAGACAACTTATAAAAAATTATTTTAATTAATCACAATATGGGAGTGTTTCTAGAAAAATCAGATTTCGAGAAATTTTTGACTAAAATTAAAAGCTTAATACATTTTAATCTAATAACATCAAAAACTAAATGCAATAAAAATCTCAATTTCGCTAAAAAATTCTCAGAACCTGATTTTCCTAGCAATCAACCCATATGCTAATTTTTTTTTTGTAATTTCGTAACTTTAAAATTTTTTATTTTTATTATTTATTTTTTTTTTAATATTTTTTAATTTTAATTTTATTTTTATTCAGTTTTTTTGGCAAATAAGTATTCTTTTTTCTTAAATTTATTCTGATGCTATATCAGTTAAATAAATGCATTTTTATTTTTTAAATTTTTTTTAAAACTTTAGACTAAAGTGATCAAACCTGAAAAGGCAAAAAATAATCATTCAATTAGAAAAACATATTAAAATATATTTCCTTTCTTTTAAAATAGCAGAAATTAAATAGAAAAGAAATTCCTATCTTTACAAGTTACTTATATAATTATTCAATTTTGAAGCTGAAGATAAATTTTAACTTAAACTTTTTATAAATATTTTTAAATTTTAATTATAGAATTAATTTTTTATTATTATAACATAGTAATAAAGAAAAATAAATAAAGTAACATTTAAAATTATAAAAATTTTATTAAATAAAATAAATTGCTTATGTATAGATAATAGATTACTTTAATTTTAATTTATAAATACATAATTTGTATAAAATTCAGATTTTATTTGAAGTTTAATTTCAGATATTTTAATTTCAGATAGTCTTATATCTGAAATCCAAATTCTATCTGAAATTGAGCTTCAGATAGAAACTCAATTTCAAATAGTTTCGTGTTTAAAATTCAGATTCTATCTGAAATTTAATTTCAGATATCTCAATTTCAGACAGTCTTGTATCTGAAATTCAGATTCTATCTAAAGTTTAATTAGTTTAATTTTAGATATTCTAATTTTAGACAACCTCATGTCTAAAATTCAGATATTATCTAAAACTCAATTTCAGATATTTCAATTTCAGATGATCTTGTATCTAAAATTAGAATTTAACTGAAATTAAAATAGTTACATAAAAATTGATCAATAAGATCATGACTAAAATTAGAATTCATATAACAAAAAAAGTATTTGAAATTGGAATTTCAATTTTATTTAACTGATCTTTAAATCTCAATTTCAGATAGTCTGAATTCCAACTTCAGATAAAAATTAAATTTTAGTCACAATATTAGTATTAATTATATGACTTATCAAACTAATTTATCAACTAGTTGATAATTTTTTTTAAAAAAAATATTTTTGAAATATTTTTTAAAAAACTCTTTTATTACAACATTTTTCTGATTTTTTATTTAAAAAAAAACTAGTTTTAATTTAAGAATCTAAAAAACTTTTGGATTAATCTGAACTTAAAATTTATAAAATAGTAAGTTTATAAATAGTTTATTTTCTTTTATTCTTTTATATTTAAAAATATTACTAATATTCTCTTTTATTTTTTTTTTTTTTAAAACATTTCTTAAACCTAAATTTGCTTTTTAAAGACTAAAATTTTAAATGTTAAAATTAAATAAGAAGTTTTTTTTAAGAAAACTAGTTAATGTTTCTTTTTTTTTTTCTTTAAAGAAATTTTTTAAACTTGATTTTAGCCTCTTAAAAACTGAAATTTTAAATAATAAAGTTGGATAAAAAGTTTATTTATTTTAAAAACATTATTAATGTTCTTTTATTTTTTTCTTTAAAAATATTTTCTAAATTGGATTTTAGTTTTTTGAAATTGAAGTTTTAAATGATAAAATTAAGTAGTAGATTTTTTATTTTTAAGAATACTACTAATATTATCTTTTATTTTTTTCTTTAAAAAGTTCTCATAAACTGGATTTTAGTCTCTTAAAAACTAAAATTTTAAATAGTAAATTTAGGTAAAAAGTTTTTTTATTTTTAGAAATACTAGCTAACATTTTTTTTAAAAATGATTCTTAGCTACTAATATATTATTGTAGTCAGTTTTTTAAGTTACTTATAAGTGATAAGCAATATAATATTTTATATAATAAGCAGAAGGTTTGTTATATAATTAGTTTTAAGAAGAGTATCAATCAGTTAACAGTTTATTTAATAATGATAATAATGGTGTATTATCTTAGTTAGCATTTTATACTATATAAGTATGTTAAAGAGATTAGAGTAAACTATTTTATAAAATTACTTATTAGACACACTGCTAAACTAAAGAAAATGTTTTCTATTTATATTAAATAAAATATATAAAGTTATTAATAAAATAAAAGAAATAAATATAATATATTATATAAAAGAATTATATATTATAGATGACATAAAAGATATATAAGATATATATGACTTTTTAATGATTGATATCATCTTTTTGATTATCATTATCTATATTTTCCTTCATGTAACAATATTAAAATTATACTAAAATCTGTTAATAAATTTTGGAATTTTGATATTTTAATAGATTTATTAATAATAAAAAAGCAGTTTGTTGATTTTAGTCTTTATTTTTTAGGTTCTAATTTTAGTATTATAATAATATAAAAATTTATATAATGTTTAATAACTATATAATAAAAATTATACTTTTCTTTGCTTATTTTAATTACTATAAAATACTAATTTGTAAATTATAAAAATATAAAATATGATTTGAAAAAATTATATTAAAATGTAAAGATATAAAATGCAAAAAAGAGATTGATAAATCTTTAAACCTAATAAATAAATAATAAATTTCTTGAATTTTTTAAATATTATTATTAATTTAGATTTTCAAATTTAAAAAAATATTGCATAATTGTAAAATTATTTTAAAGTTTAATCAATAAGTTAATTATATAATACATTATTTAAATAATTATTAATAATAATGATAATTGTTAATGATATTTATTACTTAAAAATAACATATGTTATTTTATCATTTATTATTTGTAAATGACATTTTTTTTTAAATGATATAAATTTCTATATTATTTAAAAATTATTTGAAAATTTGTCAAATGAAAATGTTATTTAATATTATTGATATAATTAACCTTACATATTTTAAGATAATA